GTGCGTTTGTCTGCTCGACTGTCTTAAGGGGAAACTGACTGTTTTACAGCAGCTTATCTCCTTCACTCAGATAAGAGAGCCGAACAGAAGTCTGGTTTATTTTTTTCAGAGAAACATTATCACAACACATCTATCCATCCGCATGTTACCCGTCTACACGACCACAATGCAAACACCGAGGCATGACACACTCAACAGAAGTCATAAACAGGTCATGATGCTAAAGCTAAAACAAGTGAGGTGGAGGATCCGTTTGTCTGAAAACAAGCTGACTCTTGTTGCGTCTAGACGAGATCATTCATTTATGCGTCTGTGAACCGCACAAGAATCAGGTCATGAAAAAAAGATGCCAGATTCCTCCTGTTTCATTCAGTATCTCGAGCACTTAATGTGCTAACCTGTCACTTAGCGCCTCACAATCAGCTAACCGCTTGGCGTAACATACAGAACTTCTCTTTGTGATCCCACTGCTAAATAAAGCTCTTGCCTCACCACAAACAGTAGAAAGCTCTTAATGCTTTTATTCTTTTATTCTTATATTTGGTTTCACCTACGTCCATTAAAGATTACACACACAATCTTTGAAACCAACTGTAACTGAAAAAAAAAGAAAGAGGAAGGTTTATACACCAATCAAAATAATACCAATCAAAATTTGGGGTTTGGTAAGATTCTGTTTTTGACAAAAGTCTCCTATGTTCACCAAGGCTGCATTTATTTGATAAAAAATATATAAAACAGTAATATTGTGAAATATTACTTCAATTTAAAATAACTTTTTTTTAAAAAATATTTTAATATATTTTAAAATGTCATTTATTCCTGTGATGCGAATCTGAATTGTCAGCATAATTACTCCAGTCTTCAGTGTCACATGGTCATTCAGAAATCATTCTAATATGCTGATTTGGTGCTAAAAAAAAACCAACAATTTATATTATTATCAATGCTGAAAACTCGTGTGGCTTATTATTGAAACAGTGATACATGTTTTTTTAAAGATTCTTTGATGAATAGAAAGTTCAAAATAACAGAATTGATTTGAAATAGATTTTTCCTAACATTTTAAAATGTCTTTACTGCTACTTTTGATCAATTTAATGAATCCTTGATGAATAAAAGTGTTAATTTCTTTAAAAACAAAAATTGCACTGGCCACAAACTTTCGAACGGTAGTGTACGTCATGTAATTAAAATATTTTTTCATGATTAAGACTAAATATACAAAGCAGTTTTCTATCATTTCTAATCAGGCACCAAATGTTTATTATATGAACCTGCAATCTAATGATTGCAGTTTGAGCATAAATGGGTTTTATCATCTACATGTTCCTGATATTCACCTGGTCTGTACAATGACTTTCTAAAGAGGAAGTTTGTAATATTTACAGCCTGATTCTTCACAAAGAGGCACAAAGCAGTGACGCAGAAGTCGTACCATCCAACATCCGCCTCTGATGTGGACAAATGTAATTAAGTGTTATGAAACTGTCCACTTCACGCTACACATTAACCTCGCTGAGTGCGACTGCACCCCTAGTGCAGCTCATTAGTACTGAATGTACTGAATGACATCAGCTGAGACACAACTCAATAAGGAATCAGATGAATGACTGCTGCTCTCATAGTCGTTCGCACTCACTGCTTGAAGCAGCACATAATGCCATGTTTGGCCTGTTTTACACTGCATGCATTTGCAGTGGCCCCCATATTAACAGGTTACTGGATTCACACTGCAGTGCCTAAAGAAATAGAGAAATGTACAGAAGATTATTTCTGCCATGGAATAAAAAAATAAAAAAGGGAATTGTGACTTTTTAATCTTATAATTCTGACTTTTTTCTTACAATTCTGAGTTTATATCTCACAATTTTGCCTTTTTTTCTCAAAATTGAAGAATCGCCATAAGCAATTACCTTTTTAATGTTTTTGTTCAGTGGCAAAACAGTGTTATTTTAGTGTCCCTGAGATATTTTTATAGGTTTTATTATTTTATAGTTTAAATTTTTATGAATTAGAATTTTTTTAGTTTCAATAAGTTTTTGTAATTTTGTTGTGTTTCATTTATCATTTTAATTTTTTAATGTCTATATAGTTATTATTATTATTATTATTATTTTATTTTTGTTATTTTAGTACATCAAGGTAAACTAAGTGAAAATTAAAAATGTCGCCTTGGCAATTTGTTAAAAAACGTTTAGTTTTTATATATTTTATTTCAGTTAGCATTTATTTTATTTCAAACAATTAAAATGCTTTTCCATGGTTTTAGTTTTAGGTTTAATTTAGTTAACCTACGTGGGTGGAAACAAGCTTTCCACAATACTTTATATCTGGCAATTCTGAGGTTAAATCTGGTTTGTTTCTTGAGGAAAAAGCAGAATTGCATTAAAAAGCCATAATTGTAAGATTAAAAAAGCCACAACCACAAATAAGCTTCCAATAAAATGTCTTCACTACAGAGTCAAAAGCTGAATATTAGTATTGTCCTAGAAGCTATTCTACATTCATGTTATAGCAGACATAGTAGTCATCCACAGCAGCCCCATGTACAGACATCATGCATTACTTCATACTGACTCAATCATGATTCAAAAACGTCTGAGGCATAGGCTTAATGTTTTTATTGTGCTTAATGTTAATGGTTTGCAAATTCTTAATAAATGGTCATATTTAGTGCATGACATGCTAGGCAATAAATCAAGCCACCCTTTGAGCCTTTGTATTAGGATCACATATGGTGAGACATCACTGTTTATACAGAGAAATAAAATCATGAGTGTGTGTGTGTGTTTGCCACAATATACAGCACAGGTGAATAAGCAGTTCACTCATGCACAGCAGTGTAAACCATCTGCTAGGAAACACAATCCAGACAACACAAATGTGAAATGTGACCAATACTAAATTCTTAATACAATTAAAAATGATATTGTTCTTCCTGGATTCATTCCATTTTATTGTATTTTCTCATAAATAACTAATTATGAATGAATTCTCAATTTCTTTTAGCAGTACAATAGCAAACATATGGCCTCAAAATTAGCAGACATGAACAAAAAGCCATTAAACAGTGGGTTTCATAATTAACTACAAACAAAAAACACTACTAGATGCACTTCTCTCTATCATTTTCTCTTAAAGAGTCATAGCTTTAAATTTCAAAACTTTTTTCAAATGACTACAGTTTCCTAATCTCACCAGAGGCAAGAGTTTTGACTTTCACACGCCATAAAAATATTTCCTGCAAACCTCTGAAAGTATCCAAAAGGCCCTTTGAAACCTGATGACAGGCTTTCTTCAAAACACATGACCTAATATGACAATATATCTCCCCTCTATTCAGTTATGGTCTCTGCACAGACAGACCGCAACAAAGAGAAGGATTAAGACATCACGTTCAAAGCGCCAAATTTTAACCTATTGTCTGCTGTGAATAAAGCGCGACCGTAACTTGACTCTGTAGAGGCTACATGATCCCAGTGTTTTCACAGCACTGTACAAAACATGCTAAAATATATACAGTCATGTAGATAATCACTAAGAGATAAACAGAAGCTATTACGTAAATGAAATGTTTAAATTCATTACATTATTAGGCTCCAAGCAAATATCGTCTTTGTTAGGTCGAAATGCAATCTAGCTGGTTTTCTCTCTCTCTGTTTAGAAGTCTGTTATTATTGATGTTAGTAATGAAACTTAACACAGGATGCTCAAAACGCACTTAAAGAAAAACAAGCAGCGAGGTCGGAAAGCAAATAAACAGTTTACTATCTTGACCAATGCATATGCGTTTACATAACGGAGGGAACTGGAAAATTTATCTAAGGGGATTGAACAGGACAGGCATGCACTGGGCTTCAAAGAATGGCAATTACACTTTGGCCACAAAAAATCCACAAGCTGACACATAACGTGTATTCACAGAACTAATGGTTCCTGACGGAACTATTCCATCTAATTAGAGCCAGGGTTTTCATTCAGGGGTCTGTGGACCCCTGGGGGTCCCTGAAAGTACTTCACGGTGTCCATGGAGAAGATAAGCACATTGTGATGTATTAATGCTAGCAAGTTTTCACTAAATGTTTTACCAAGAAAATACCTTTTTCATATTAGCAGTTGCAGGATTTTGCATTGGTGCTGTATTTTTGGTCTGGAATCTGGATCCTTTAAGTTATTCAAAAATTCATTAAGAAATGAAATGTCTAAAATAACTTGGAAAAAAACTCTCTTTGTGCTTTCACTTTCTGGGTTAAAGTCATTTAATACCTTTTGTGGGGCTTAAAGTGAGTCACATTAAAAGGCTTACTTTTGTAATGAATTAATTCATTTGTTTGTTTGCAATTTACTTTAATATTTGAAAAACTTTTGGCTGCCAAATCAATGTCAGTGTGGCGTAACCAACATGCAGGAAGCCCCAAGAAAACTATAAAACAAAAACAAAAAAGAAAATCATAGTGAATCAATACCAAGTTTTAGGTTGCATAAACTTGTATTCAAGGTACGGGCAGTTTTAACTAAGGATATTTAATTTTTACTAGGTTGTGCCTTTTGACATTTTTGCAGAAATTAAATATTCTTGCATGAAACGAGCATGAACACAAAAGTTCTATTGCTAAGAACTTTCTTTGAGCTTGGGTTTGAAACTAGATTTTAAAAACATTTATTTTTTATCGTCTGGGAGATTTGCCACTGAGTCAAATGGGGCTCCACTTGTTGCTTTCTGTTGACTGTCATTTGAAATGACATAAGCAGCATAACGGGACACTATGTTCCTCCACCCAGCCCTAGTGTAAAATACAGTCTGCCTCTGTTTTTTTCACACATCTCTGCTTCACTGCGGTGTGTGTTGTGTTTAGGAATAAGAAATTAGGAATTTCTGTAATACTGAAAAAGTACTACAAATATTTCTTTCGGAGTCTATATGCAATTCAAAGGCTAATGCACAATCACCAGTTATTTAAACTATAAACAGAAAAAAAGTTATTGATCAAACGAACCTTGCGTTGGTACAGTCGTTGTACAACGCTTCGAAATCCTTTCTGGAAATGAGTTTGCAGCGGTTCACTCCGGGCTGGATGGCACCGAGTCCGCGCAATACGCGCACCTGCTCCACGGTGCACACCACGGGGTTTATATCCAAACGCTTGAGTTTCGTGTACACGGTGTGCAGTCCGCCGACAAGGTGCTTCAAGAAAAGGTCGAAGACTTGCGGGAGACAAATAAGCTCCTGTCCATCAACGTTGAAAGAAGCGACTTTCACTCCGAGCACTTCCACGATTTTGCATTCGTTCGTCGCTGCGCCGCTCGGAAGCGTCGCGTTCAGTGAGCTGATCAGTCTCGGAGAGTCCCCGGGACTCGAGAAGAACGGGTCGGTTCTGAAGAGTTTACCGGACACCGCAGAAGTCCCAGAGTGAACCGAAAGAGTCGCAGGAACAGCCATAGTAGTCATTACAATTGTTAGTATTATTATTTTAATGTATATTTAGGTCTTCTACTTTCTCATCAGTCTCCTTTATATGCCTCCCTCTTTTGAACTGCGTCCACAGAGTAAGCCTGGCAGCACTGAGCCGAGCGCCTCTCTTTCACCCGTGTGAAAATTCAGATCAGCGGAGCGCTTCTCGGTCCGGTTAACTCCGCCTCTCGCTGAAAGAATGATGCTCCATTTTGCCAACCACATATGTGCTCCAATTTATGGGTAAAGACTTCACTGGAGGTCGAGAAATTACAGCCCTCCTCCTCTATTGAGCGAGTGTCCAGCTTCTCTCAAGCTGTTATGTTATATCCCAGATCTATCTATCTGACCATCCATCCGTCAATCGCAAAATTATTCTGAACATTTTTAATGTTTTTTTCCCCCCGCACATGCATAATTATTAATAAGCAGTGTTTATTTAAAGGGAGTGCAAATAGCCAAATTTATTGGGAAATATTGTTTGCACTAACTCCTCTCACTTGCTCAGACAATTTATCTAGGGATATAAACTACTCCTGGTCCACTTTTTTCCATGACCCTCTGCCCAAAAAAAATAAATAAAATAAATAAAAATACAATCTTCACAGATATTTCCACTCACACATGTATCACACTTTGTAATACACTCTAAATTGTTCATACACACTAAATTGTGCGCAATAGTTCTGTCAAGAAAATAAAGCGTGAAATAAGCATTATCTTTAGGCAACAGAAGAATCAGCTTTGTCTTTTATAGGTCAGGCTAAGTCAGGTACTCAAGCATTTGAATGCCATCTGTTCAGCATCATTGGGAAAACACGCTCACACATCTGGATGTGTCTGTGGAAAGACTTCTGTGCACCCCTCTCCTGGGACTCACGAGGAATCCTTTGAGAAAAATGCCATAAAAATATCCCACACGTCCCTTTAACCACATTTGTGTTCCCATCAGGCATGCCGTCTCTTTATTCACATTAATAAAGCAGTTTTGTAAAGTACTGTATCTTAGGTATTCTGTAATGGTATAGTTCACCCAAAAATCATAATTTACTCACCCTCATGTTTTTTTCAAACCTGACTTGATTTGCATCTGTGAAACTTTTGTATCCATACAATGAAAGTCAATGTTGTTTGGACTCCAACATTCTTCAAAACATCTTTTCTGCAGGAAAAAATGAATGCAAACAGGTTGGAATGACATGAGAGTGAGTAAATAATTGCAGAATATTAATTTTAGGCGAACTATGCCCTAAATCTATTTTCCTGGGCATCATTATAAGAGACAGCTTTATTGTTGTAGAATCTGTAGCAGATTTAATTGTATGTTAGTAGGACACAAGTACTATTAAACTCGAAAAACAGAAAACTTCTACAAGTTGCCTCAGACTGTAGATGCAGTTTTGCTATAGAGCTTTCTTGCAATTCATTTTCAGTAACTCACGAGCTTTTGATTTATACAAATGTACAATACTAAATGACTCAGACTGCACAGGTGAAGAGGAAGAGGTTTGTTTGAAGTAGAGTGAGTCATGAAACCATTACAAAACAGTATGCTGACATAATACAGATTTAGTTGCATGTTCTACTAACAATTTATCAACATTATGAACACATGAAAACTCATTTTGGGTATCGAGAAGCAGTTTCACAGTATAAACTTCAAGCATCGCAGACCAAAGTCAATAAAGAGATAAAGTGTCAGGAAGATGCGGATGACCTTAATGACACTTTGACCTGAATTTGCATTTCAGTGTAAAATGTAATTATGAACAGTAGGAATGAGGCTTTCTGGGAAACAAGGCTGGAGTTAATCCATTCAAATCCAATTTAAAGGAGAGAGTGTATAACTAGTCTTAGACTGACATGCTTCTCTTTAAATGGTTAATGGACAGTAAATTAATGGTGCGAGAGCTGTAGCAACACACTGAACACTCAGTCATTTAGAGGCGAAGGAACAATTTGAAAAGTGAGGGGTATTAAAATAAGGGCATTAATATGAACCATCATGAATTTTAAATAATGTGCTACATTACAGCTGTCTAAAACTTTTTATTTTGAGTTTATGACATTACAATGAAATAAACAGTTTTCTTGTTGTTCATTTGACTTTAAAATGCATATGTGACATCACAAAGTGATTTTTTGGTTTGACATTGGCACTAAGGTGTCTTTAATCACGTGTATGGTTTTCACATTCAGTTTGCTATAGTTTTTCTATATTAAAGGGTATTTGTAATATCCAAAGGTTATATTAGGTTAGCTTCCATAAGCTGGTCTTTTATTTATTCTATTTTTCATCTTATGCTATGTACCGTATTTAATTACATAAATGTGTTTGAGTTATTTTAAATAGTAAAACATATTTTTCATCCAGTGATTAACAATATGCTTAATTCATGTAATAGACCTGTACCTTTTTTTTATTCTAGAGGGGAAGTTAACCATAATGCGTTTGAAGTTATTCTATTTTTTGTGATTAATTGCCCAAAAATTAATTACCCATTACCCAAAAATGGCCATCTAAGATGTAGATGAGTTTGTTCCTTCATCAGAACAGATTTGGAGAAATTTAGCATTACATCACTTGCTCACCAGGATGCTCTGCAGTGAATGGGTGCCGTCAGAATGAGAGTCCAAACAGCTGATAAAAACATCACAATAATCCACAAGCATCCACATGACTCCAGTCCATCAGTTAACATCCAAATTTCTCTAAATCTGTTCTGATGAACAAACAAACTCATATCTTGGATGGCCTGAGGCTACATGATTAGCAAATTGTTATTTTTGAGTGAACTATTCCTTTAAGATAACAAAAAGAGTTATGACATTGCTCCATGACATCTTACCTTTGTTTGTATATCATTGACAATAAATCATCTTGCTCACAGGATCAAAGCTAAATATCTCTGTAAAAAAATGTTATATTTGCATGTATATTAAAGATTTAAGTGTAACCATCAAAATGGACTTAAAAATACAACTAACAAAATAAATACAACATTTAAAATGTACAACATTTTAAATGCAACTTAAACTCATTAAAATAGGAAATATTACATACTTTGATACAATCTCTCAATACATGGATACATTATCATTGTTTGAGGGATCTGATTACACACACATACGCACAAAATTGAAAAAAGTCAAGGTCAGTCGGTCAGAGTTTTGGCTATGCCTCAGATCACTTGAAGGGCTCAAGGAATGAGAGAATAAACTAAGAGTATGGACCATATTTCTACTCCTGTCTCATCTATTTTTTTCTTTCTTTCAAACACATACATGTACAGACAGACAGACACAGATCTGCCACTCAAAAGAGCAGTATAAACATGATTATTATATATACAGTGGGTACGGAAAGTATTCAGACCCCCTTAAATTTTTCACTCTTTGTTATATTGCAGCCATTTGCTAAAATCATTTAAGTTAATTTTTTTTCCTCATTAATGTACACACAGCACCCCATATTGACAGAAAAACCAAATGATTTTAGCAAATGGCTGCAATATAACAAAGAGTGAAAAATTTAAGGGGGTCTGAATACTTTCCGTACCCACTGTATATATACTGTATATATACATATATATATATATAAGAAAAGATCAGACGAGTGACCAAATGTCTTCAGTAAATGGAAAAGCAAATCCAGATGCTCTAGAATGAACCCTGCAGGATGGACTATGATAACCTTGTGGACGAAGAAGCTTAATAAATCTGATGTATACAGTACACATACACATGTTAATTATCTGCCATTTAGAACCGGATGTGCATCTGTTGAAAGAATGATTTTCCAACGTTAAGCGTATCACAAGCTGTCACATTCAGAAAGAAATGACTGGCACATGTTTGAAAAAACAGCTCAGTCTTAGACACGCGCTCCTTTTATTTTCGGCAGCTCTTTGTCACTGTGTGCAAATGAGAACAGATGCGTTGCTTATCTGGCAGATGCTAAAAACACTTACATGAATTTTCTTCTTGGTTAAATGAGTCTGAGGTGACAGCAGCCTGACGTGACACTGATGAAAGGTGAAGTCTCCTCTAGCTCAATTTTACTGCTTTTATTATACGCCTGAACTGAATTCAGACATTGGTTAGGCAGAGTTTAGTACTAATTATTTAACAAAGCTCTCTGGACTTTCTCTGAGTCAAAAAATATCAGTATGACAATAATGATCACATAAACAGCAGATTCTTTTCCTAATAATATTTGTGCTTGTCAGATAAAATGAGATTAGCACTGTGTTTGCTCTGTAAAGTATTGCCAGGTGTTTACAAACTTTAACAGTAAGATCTTCAGCAAAAAACTGAATAAATGAATGCATGAATGAATGCAGGACAGATAAGTTTCTGCCATAACACACAAACAAACAAACAAACAAAAACTGTTGAATGACTGTATATGATTGTGCATTTGTACTTGAAGTCACTATAATGGTAAATAATGTTCACTTTGGTTGAAAATGTAAACCTTTTTAATCTTTAATAGATTTTCTCACAGGTTGACTGTTAGGAAGAGAACATTTGCTTAATTATTAAGTAACTAAGACAGTAACTTGATTTTTAAATTAACATTATGTGTCAATATTGTACATTATAGTACAAAAATAATTAAATATTTTATAAATGTATTAAAAAATAAATATTTTATACATTATTACATTTTATTTTTTATAAAATGTAAATATGAAATATGCTTAATATAATTTTTTTTATTAATTATACAGAATAATATTATTTTCTGAATAATAATATGTTTTTAAATAATTAAATATTTTATAAAAGGAGACTGGGGTTGCAATAGTAACTTTCAGTAGTCATCAACCAGTCATGCACAGATTCCAAGGGTGTGCAAACTTAACAATAGTGACAATCAACAAAACATTATATATATATATATATAGAGAGAGAGAGAGAGAGAGAGAGAGAGAGAGAGAGAGAGAGAGAGAATGTCACTATTTAAAAGAAAAAAAAAGAAAGAACAAAAGAAAGAAGAAACAAAAATATGCAATAAGGTTTCAAATTAATCAGTTAAACAATAAACAAATCTTAAAATGAAACAGAATTACAGGAATAACACGTAACACAATAATACTGCAAAATGAAAATTTGC